TTATAAAGAAATAAAAAATTCATGTATATGACAAAATTACCTCCAACCCTTTACATTGAATTCTTAATTGTAACCTCAATTAAATCAATTTTGACCACAAAATCCAATTTTGACTTTTTTTTTCAAAAACTTTTTTTTCAAAGAATATTTATTTGCCTCCGGATTCCGGCATTGACTTTTCGAATTTTTTTTATAGGTCTGTTTTTTCCGCTGCCGGATTCCGGCATTGACTTTTTTTTTCTTCTGGTCTGTTTTTTCCGTCGCCGAATTCCGACGTTGACCGCCGGTCTCCGGCGTTGACTTTTTTTAGTGTTTTTTTTACGCCTGCCGCTAAACGTTGACCGTAATTGTGCTGTCATTAACGGTAATTATATTGTCACTGACAGTAAATTAACGTAATTATACTGTCACTGACAATATATTAACGTAATTGTACTGTCGTTGACAATATATTTATGTAATTGTACTGTCGTTGACAATACAATTAGAGACAATGACAATATTATTATTATTTTTTTTTTGTTATCTTTTTTTTGTTTGATTTGTTGACAAGTTGACCTAGTAATTATATTACTTTCGTTGACTATAAAATAACTGTAAACACAATAATATTACTGTCAACCACATCAATATTAATATTTTTTTTTTGGGTTTTTTTTGTTTTGTTTGAGTTATTCACGGAGTAGCGTGATAATATTAATGTCTATTATTGTAATATTACTGTAAACATAATAATATCACTGTGGTTGACGATAATATTACTATTGTTATAGTAATATTACCATCAACCACATCAATATTATTATTTTGTTTGGGTTTTTTTGTTTTGTTTGAGTTATTCACGGAGTAACGTAATAATATTACTGTCTGTTATTGTAATATTACTGTGGTTGACGGTAATATTACTGTTGTTATAGTAATATTACTGTCACACAGTGATATTAATTCTTTTGGCTTTTTACTATGTTTACATTTGTTGAACGGTCAACATATTAATATTACTCTATTTACACAATAATAATGAGTTTTATTGTGTTAATATTACTGTGCTAGAGATTAATATAGCAATATTACTGTGTTAAAATGTAGTATAGTTAATGTTACTATGTTTAACAGTAATATATTTAATATTACTGTCAATCACAGCAATATTGTTGTTTAAATGGGGAAAAAAAGATGTTACGGAAAGAAAGAAAGAAAAAAATTGAAAAAGTCAACGCCGCAGACCAACGTTCACCGTCGAAAATCAGTGGCGGAAAAATCAGGAAGAAAAAAAAAAATCAACGCCGGAGACCGGCGGTCAACGGCGGTGACGGACGAAATTGTCCATAAATATGTGTTTTGGATCAAAATTGAGTAATTTGTGAAATTTGAGATCAAATTGAGGTTATATTAAATTAAATGATGAAATTGGAGCATATTTAAGTATGATGGGCTATTTTAGTCTTTTATAAACATCTAGATCATGTGTGGATTTATTTATAAAAGAGTTCATTGTCTGGATCTGTTTATAAATAAGTACTCCCTCCGTCCCAATTTAAATGTCGTTTTGGGTTATTTTGCACATATTAAGAAAATCAATAAATGTGCATAGATTATAGTAAAAGAACATATAAAATTACAAAAATATCCTTGACATTAATTGATTCTCAACTAATTAATTAAGAGTGATTAAGGGTAAAATTGAAAATAATGCAATTAATGCTTCATTGAAAATCTAAAATGACAAATAATTTGGGACAAAAAAAACTCTCTAAAAAGACATATAATATGGGACAGAGGGAGTACTCATTAATGTGCTTATTTGTAAAGTGTCCTTTTAAGTATTAACTTGACATTTTTAAAATATTTATTTATTATTAAACATTGTTAAATATTTATTAAAATTTATTCAATATTTATTAAATACGTATTAATTGTAAAAAAAGTTATTAAACAATTATTAGCTTTTTATGAAGGGGTAATTAGCAAGAACCCTCTATATGAGTTAAGAAAACACCCCATATAAAAAATAATTAGAAAACCCCCTTAGCTAATATCCACTCAAATATTATTTTAATAAGCACAAAATGCACTTCGCACCCTTAAAAAAACCATTTTTTGCACTTTCCCCCCTATAAATACAAAAAAGAGACTTTGCCCCTTTAAAATACCAAATGATGTGCATATTGCCCCACAATCAAGTTCAGTCCAAAAATTCGACTGAGTTGGTTTTTATAAAGGGTATTTTTGTCACTTGAAAGGAATTATTATTTTCATCCCACAACACTCTCGGACATCATGCGCTCCCATGAAACCTCGTTGTGTCAGCACTCGTCACTATTTTTGCGAAACAAGGACTTTCTCCTCTAGCTATTTTTCGGCCGCCGCCAACTCTGAAACCCATATTGTTGATGCGCTGCCACCACTCTGAGACTGGGTTCACATGTTCTACAGCCTAGGAGAGGACATATAATCAGGTGCGTCAACGGCAGCGATGTACCGGAACAAAGAGATCTGGTATTCACACGGCTGGCTAGCTCTGCAGAACATGAACAGCCTCTTTCTCCACAATCCCATCACTCATCGTTGGATAAATCTCCCAGCCCTCACGGATAATTTAATCCCAATATCATCATCATCTCACCTCATTCTTCCGCAACTTAAGGATAAATTAATCCCACCAGTACTTTTCCAATCTCCAGGTGCCGAACAAACCAGACGCAGTGTATCAATCCTCTGTCGCGCCGCCACCACCACCGGCAGAATCGGTGGTCCCGAAATTAAACTGGTGAATTATTAACCTCCTTCCGGTGGATTTGGAGCTGGGCTAAGCCAGGGCATTTGTCTCCGTTTCACTAGTAGCAATTTGAGGTGGAAAAGGTTAATAGTAGTTCCATCTTGAATTGACGAAAATACCCTTTATAAAAACCCAATTCTGACAGAATTTTGAACGGAAGTTGATTATGGGGCAATGTGCACATCATTTTGCATTTTAAAGGGGCAAAGTCTCTTTTTTGTATTTGTAGGGGGGAAAGTGCAAAAATAGTTTTTTTAAGGGGGCAAAGTGCATTTTGTCCTTTTAATAATTCCCAAACTACCTTTATTAATATTAAATCTCTTCAAAACCCTAACCCATTTCATTTACCATTCTCTCTTCTTCTTTTCTCGTCTTTTCGTCTTCTCTCTTCTCTCTTCTTTTCTCGACTGAAATATGGAAGAAAAGCAAGACGTCGACCGATGGTGGTGGTGGTGGTGGAGAGTGTTTGTCACCGCCTCCCGCCGCCGCGTGAAGGGTGGTGATGGGTCTGTAGTTTAGGGCGGTGGTTTCCACCGACGATGTTGAAGATGATGACTGGCGCTCGTCGTTGAAGACGCAGTTGGTTGACGGCTATGAGGATAAGGCATGAGAAAATCACTGTTGCAATTGATGTTGGTGAAGGTATTTGCTTTTTTTTTCTTTTTTTTTTTTATTATTTTTTGATGTTGGTTTTGACAAATAACTTGAATCGTTTCTGTTTTTTTTCCGTGGACATTGAAATGCTAATTTGTGTTTTTTGGTATGAATTATTTAATTTATTTATTTTATTCTTGTTAGGGATTGGTTGAATAGTGTATTGTGGCAGCGGTGTGGTGACGGTGGAGAAGCAGATTTAGGGTTTTTTGGTGGATTGGGCGGATAACGGCGCGTATAGAGAATTTCTCACAGGCTGAAACCTTAATCGATTATGTACATATCCATAGTCGATTAAGCTAATCGACTATGTTCTGTAATCGATTAAGGTTGATCGACTCCAATTTTTTTTGTTTTTTACTTTTTGTTTTTTTTTTTTTCGTTTATTGATTCCAATTGTATAAATCAATTATAATGTTTCTATATTTTTTTTTTGTAATATATAGTTGATGTTTGCATTTTTTTCGCAGTTGTGATTTGTTATTTTTAGTACCAGATTCTTAATCGACTATGCTCTGGTAGTCAATTAAGGTTGATCGACTCCAATTTTTTTTTTTTTTTTTGGTTTTTTGTTTATTGATTCCAATTGTATAAATCAATTATAATGTTCTTATATTTTATGTTTTTTTGTAAAATATAGTTGATTTTGCATTTTTTTGCAATTTTGATTTGTTATTTTTAGTAGCAGACTTTTGATCGACTATGTTTCATCATAGTTGATTAATATACTGATATAGAAAAAAATAAAAAATAAAAAATAAAAAAAAAATAAAGAATTTCCTTAATCGACTATGAAGCATAGTCGATAAGGCTAATCCACTATGCTCCATAGTCGTCGATTAAGAAAACTGGTACATAAAATAAGGAAAAAAAATGGAAAAACGAAAAATAAAAAAAAATAAAAAAAAAAAATTGTTGAGCGCGTGTTCCAGTGATGATGTGGCGGGCGGGGGCAAAGCTGGAAAATATAATAGCTCAAAATCGGTGTGAGTTTTTCTCAAATGGAGAGAAATATTTTGGACCTCCCTCCATTAAAAAAAAGTAAAAAGGGGTTTCCTCAAAAAACCCCTTCTATGAAATACTTTGTGAACAATCTTTAACACTTATTAAATATTTAATAATGTAAACAATTTGAAACAATTACCAATTGCTAAATATTTTTTTAACAATTAAATATTAGTAATTAGGTGCCGAATGGACAAATAATTAGTACGAATTTTGAAAATATTGCCGAACAAATTCCAAATAAAAGTTGGTGGCAATGTGCGAATAGAGAAATAGGTGCTCAACGGATTCCTCGATATCACGAAGAAGTGGATCCACCGGAATAGCAGTACTTGTATTGCAAGTGTTGATTCTAAATCAATCTAGTCCAAGGAACTTTTCGGTTTTTATTGGAGTGGCTCAATCAAAATCTCTAAAATAAATATTGAGTTTCTTTTTGAACTACCACGGACAGAATGCTACGATACCATACGATATTAAAGACAATACCACGAGGAATTTTTTTTCAAGTCAAAAGATTGCTCAATTCCAAATATACGACGAGCTATACCGGTAAAAACAATTTTGACAGGACCAAACCAAATATATTTTGTTAGATCACTTGCTATTCACACTGTATTTACAAGACACTCAATATTACGTGTTTCAACAAACATATTCAAGTTTGTTTTGTCGCATGGTATATGTATACTACGACTGATTGGACCATGATCCACACCGTTGTCCAAATTCTATCTGCAAAGCTACGTATGAACAGAAAAATGTAGTAAGATGGGCTCTATTTAGCAGAATCTCTCAGAAGGCGATCCACAGCAGCATTAACATTCCCAGCAGCGGCAATCAATGCTCTGATGTTTTCTTGGGTATCAACGAATCCCATTTCTCGTAACTGAGATAGTTGAGTAGCGTATAATTCTTCAGACGGAACTGCAATAATACATGAAACAAACACAGATTATACGAAGGAATTATAGTAAAACATAAAAACGAACAGAAAATCACGAGAAAAGAACACAATATTATATATGAGAGAGAGAGAGAGAGCGGGGGGGGGGGTGTTACCTGGAGAACTTTTTTGAGTGGTGGGAGAGAGGTCACGTGGAGAATTATTTGGAGCGGTGATGCCATCAACAGTTTCACGTCCGCGTAACATATGCAATCTCATGTCCCTCAACATATCCAATCTCATGTCGTCAGTTGTATCATCTACAATTTCATACAGCCGGTGTCTTAGATAAACAGTGAAATACGTAATATATGCAAATATAACTTCAGTTTACTTGACCATATGGGAGCATTTTTCTCTAAAACGTTATAACGTGCAAATTACGCAAATCCTGGATTTATGACTTTTCTGTCACCCCAAAGACCATCAAAAGATACCCCATTCATACACAGACAAATGTGGTTCTCTCCGAACTTCACTTTTGTTTGTTTTTCCCTTCCTTCACCAAAATCAAACCAAACGTTTAGCGTTGTTATCCCTCTCACATACATATTCCTTCTCTTCTCAACGTATTTGAGAACATCTGAATCTTTACTTTAAGCACAAATAAATAAACTCACATGCACACACAAATACATATATATTTCGATTCTTTTACTTCAAAATCAAATCACTGTATTTATTATTATATATAATATCTAAATATTAAATGTGAACACAATATATAACAGAATATCAGTTTACTGAAAAAACGAAACAAATATTCATTGTGTCAGTTAAAATCACATGTACCAATATAAAATAGAACGACCATCAAGTAAAAAAATGGGTCAGTGTTTAACAAGGAAAAATAGAATGTTAGTTCCAGGAAGTAAAATGCAAACCTGTTCCGTCAGCATTTTGATCTGGTTCTCTGCAATATTCAGCGAATGCAGTTAATTAACAAAACAACAGAACCATCAGCAGCACTCTATATACAGATTGTAATATTGATCTAACAGGTGCATATTATAAAAATGGAAATGGATTCGCAATTTCGCACCAACATATGTTTCTTAAAAATGATATGTACAGGAAAAAGACGGGCTCAAACTTACGGAGATGTTTGGCGACCAAGTTGAGATGACAGAAAATAGTGAAGTTGCTGAGACATGAGAAGAAATAAGATAAAATACACGTACAGTACATTTCATAGCATCGCACATATCACACGTCACATTATTTTCAGATTTAAAGAGAGGATTATCAAATTTCTGTTAAATGAGACATTTGCTTAGGCTGTTCTTTCACTTTCAACGAGAAGCAGACTAGAGATTGAAGTATCTTCGTTCAGAGATTAAACTGCTTACCCGTATCGTCTTAGTGGAACTTATAAAGTGAGCAGGATTGGAGTAATAAACGTTTAGCAGCTGCAGATTGAGGCCAAGAATCCACAAGAAGAATATGTTAATGAGATTTGAAAATTATATCCAAATAAAAGTTAGAATCAAAGAGCATCTAGCAATACCTGATTATTCATGATCTGGGAAACGGATGGCGTGTCCACATTCCCAGTAGAACTCGACTCTGTATCCAAGTTTGTCTGCATTCCTCCAGCTGCAAAGTTCATTTCAAGAGCATTAAAGATCTGGAAAAAAAAACATTCATGCAAAACCAATACAAAATTTTAGTTAAAAACAGTGGAATCAAGTAACTTGTACAAATTGGACATGTCAAGAACTTCGAAAATTATGTCAAGACTCAAGAACTTGTATCTCTGAACTATTTTAAATCCCAGATGTCTACACTATTGTCGCAATAATAAAAGAACTGCTAAATGTAAGGAGAAGCATTCAATATATATACATCAAGAAAATGATACAATTAAATTTCCTTAATAGTATTAATGCATGTTTCACCTGACATACCCCAATACTACAGAAACTGAAGAAAAAACTATTCGAACGACGACGAGCATCTTTTTATTTGAAATTTCAGGAAAGCCGAACCACTAGCTAACAAAAAATAAAAAAAATGGTGCGGCCAGATTTAGACTTACTGCAAGCAGAGGTCCAAGGATTTGGAAGCGGGTTTATATTTGGAGCAGGGTTATTGGTTGCAACTTCAGGTTTAGGGAGTTCTGGCCCCCTGCCTTTATTAAAACCTGCCTCTGCAGTTGAAATTGAATTTGCAGGTACAACAACTGCTGCAAAATTTCGTACCAAGTGGACAGTGTGACCAGACTTAAGACCTGTCAATATAAAATAAGAATAGTTTAATTAATTCCAGATTCATTTACCTCCCATATCATCCGATATAAAATTTCATATATTCCAAGAGTTGCATCCCAATTACGCTATTACGATTACATCTCAGCATCATAAAACTTAGCCTCTTGCAATTTCAATATTCTAGCGTGTCGGGCAACGGTAACAGTTCAAGCAAAAAACCGTGACCAACCAAAGTAGAAATATGAAATTATTTACGACAAATACAGCATCGGAAAGAGATTTTTATTGGCTTTAATAATAGACCCTGTTACTTCTTATCAAGAAACAACGATATTTCATCGATGACTGCAATCAAGGCAAGATTATGAGTGCCAAAGACATAAAATGCCAGGAATTTAAATTATCAAATTTCTTAGCCATGTCGAGAGCAATTAATTAGCATACTGACATGAATTGATTCAAACCCTAGAAACAGTCTCTGATCTACACAATACTCAATTACACACCCACACCCAATTAGTATGATCAAATTAAACAATTAGACACTCAATTTTTCGCCAACAAAATTCCTTCAGAATTCAATTGAACAAAAAACAAAACCCAATACACAATACTCAATTACACACCCACACCCAATTAGCATACTCAATTGTTCGAGTATGATCAAATTAAACAAAATTTCTTCAGAATTCACAATTGAACAAAACAAAACAGAATTCAATTAACAATTTTCGAATACGAAAAAATAATAAAAAAGAATGATTAATTAGTCCGTATACCGTAGCTCTGAAAAGTTTTGTCGCCCTTCAAAATGCGGCCTCTGTAGATTAAACGCTGCTCGTGTATGGGCATTTCGAATTCCTCAACAAGGATTGACTTGAAAAAATCGACGGTCCAGCCTAAGTTCACCTTAAAAGGATTGAGTTTCGAACCGCTTAAGCGACTGACGTTGACAGTCACCTCTTCTCCTCCGGCGGCGTGGCTGCTTGAATCGCCACCACCGCCGTACGGCAAATCGCCGCTGCCCATTCTGATACAATCTAATAGAAGAAACCAATGAAATCAAACACGAGCCCTAGCCTTGAGGAGTTTGATCTCTCTCTCTCTCTCTCTCTCTCTCTCTCTATCTCTCTCTTTCAGGTGAGTTTGTTATAGTTGTGAGTATTTGTAGAGAGAGAAATGAAGGTGATGTGATAACCGCCAAAAAAAATCAAATACCACAACATGACTAAACAAAGGGGTTAAATGTAGTTTTGAACTTGGGGTGAGAATTGGAAACTAATTTCCAATTTTTTTTATTTTTTTTTGAACAATTTGTTTTTGTGTGGCTTCCAATCTTTTCTAAACTATAGATAAATCATTTTTGATAGCTTAAAACCGCGGTTCACTCCCTAGATAATTTACCCAAGCGAATCAGTCCTTATTTTGGATGTTTAACATGTACATTACTTCCTATGGTAGATGAAAATGCTAAAATACCCTTTATTTTATTCTAATTTTACATATTTTATAAACTATAGATAAATTCTTTTTGATAGCTTAAATCCGCGGTTTGGTCCCTAGATAATTTACCAAGCGAATCAGTCCTTATTTTGGATGTTTAACATACCGATTACTCCCTACGGTAGATGAAAATATTAAAATGCCTTTTATTTTATTCTAATTTTGCAAAATTTCCTTCGATTTTAAAAGGACTGTTTTTCAGTAACTTTGTTACTTCTCGTTGCTCTTGAGTCAACCGACTTAATGAACGTATTTCTTGTGGATATATTATGAGCAAAATGATTATGATTGCCATCTTTGATGGTAAGGCACCATAATCCATCATGACCCTCTTTACCTCATACCGCAAAAGAACACATGTACTTCATTGAACCAGACTTCCGGCTTGTTACGACATTGACATTTTTTCCTCGCCGTTCATATATTGTCTGTGTTCGTGGAAATACTGACGTCTAATCTCATGACCATGACTGACAGCCATGTTCATCGCCCACCCAACCGTTACTCTCAAATGCAGTTGAATCATGTCACTCGAATGTTTCCGTATCTTCATCAACGTTTATGTATACTTCAGTTTTTCAGATAAATATAGTTAGCAAGATATTAAAGTAAAAAAAAAGTGTTTGCGTAAATTCATACTAACAGCTTCTTAGGTCTTCGTGTCTATTCACACGACCAGTAACAAAGGTGAGCCGCGTGAATTCACATGAACACACAAAAAAAATTATTCATCTGTTCGTGTGGTTTTAAATGACCATATGACATGTGCTCGAGCAAAACCACGCGAACACAAGAAATAAAAAAAAATATCATGTGTTCGTGTGATATTACACGACCACGTGGCATGTGGTCGTGTAAAATCACACGAGCACATGCATTTTCGAGAAAAAACGAAAACATTACCTCATTAGATTTATTTCAGAAATTGTTGAATATCTCAATTTTTTTGGACTTTAATGTTGAGATTTGAGTTTTGTAAAGGTTTAAAGAGTTTGGTGAAAAAAATATAAAAAGGTAAAAAGTTATTGTAAAAAAATGCATGCACGCCAAAAAGTCTGGGTATATAACCACTCGGGTAGAAATGATAATATGTTTAGTTGTGGTGAGTTTCTATTACGAGAATACGTGAAAAAGTAAAAATATATGATTGGATACGATGATAATAATAATAATAATAATAATAATAATAATAATAATAATAATAATAATAATAATAATAATAATAATAATAATAATAATAATAATAATAATAATAATAATAATAATAATAATAATAATAATAATAATAATAATAATAATAATAATAATAATAATAAAAATAAATAATAATGGAGTGATTATTGTAAGTGTAGTTTCGTCCTTTTCGACTATAACCTAATGAGTGATTATTCGTCGTCCGACGACGACGACGATGAGTCACCGGTTATAGGGACGACCAAGAATGAAACTCTGTGCATCCATTATGTTGGAGACAGGACATGGATCGTAAGTCAGTTCGTAAGTCATTCGTTGAGGATATTCAAAAGAATGTACCACTAATTCGAGAACCGTGATTCGTCTTTGTTGTCCGCGGAGTACGATACGATTAGAAGAGCGCGTAAAGAAATCAAAAATCGTAGATTTGTCGAGTACTACTTGGCGTATTACGTTATGTTGAAAGTCACGGTTGGCCAAGGACATGATCTGATTCCAAGATCAGGCGATGACATTAATTGTGAGGCGACGAAGAATCCAATGTCGAAGCCTTGTTTTTTTCGACTATTAAAAAATTAGACCAGAGAGTCTTCAACAGGGGTTTCGAGCTACAAAAATTGGAGTTATTTTTAGATGAAACAATCGAAAAACTTCGAATATCCGAATCGTCAAGAAGGTGATTAATTGTTTATGTCATACTCCATCTGTTCCATAATATCTGTCTCTTTTAATAATTTCTTTTGTTCCATATTATCTGTCACTTTACAATTCCAATGCTGCATTAATTGCTTATTTTTCAATTTTACCCTTATTAATTCTGTAGCACTCTTCCTACATTAATTAATAAACAATAATATTTTGGTCCATCAATATCCATTTTTTCCTAAAATCGAGACATATTTATTGAGATTCTTAAGATTTGTGGCAAGGTGAAAAACGACACCTATTTAGGAACGGAGGGAGTACATTGTTAACATGTTAATTTTCCTTCTTTTTTTTTCACAGTCCTTGTTCTTTTAATATTTTTTTTTTAATTCTTCTATCTTTTTTTCCTAGCAGTTTCAACTCGGTCAACTCTGATCCTGACGTAGTCAACGCCGAAGAAGAAGACGAAGAAGATTATAAGGATGCTTTCGAACCTCAAAAAGAAGAAGAAGAAATCAGCAAAGAAATTACCGATGATTTAAGACAACCCGTAGAACGTGCTTTATCTGGCGGTAATACATCCCGATTGGATCGTGCATTGGGGAGACGTTAGATCATGCACGATTCAGTAAATATATTACGACAGGTGTTTCTAGAAATCCAAGATCGCGATTTATTTTTCGAGTTCTTGACTAAACACAAATCCGAAGTGAAAAGAGTAGGTCAGAAGATCGAGGAGAACACTATCAAACCAGATGATTATTCGTACTTGTATGGTGACGAATACGAACGTATTTTGCACTCGGCCGTTGCTCGGCATATTGAAAACTTAAGAGTGGGCAGTGAGTTGAGGGATAAATGGACGGAAAATAATACGAGCGTGTTGTCCTTTCCGGTTCTTTACGAAATCGACAAAATGCTGTTTGGTTCTAGCTTTGAACTGCTTGAATTAGAGTATTTGATATATAAATTTGAAGATTATTGAAGATGATCGACGATCGGTTATATATATTTTCTAGAAGTAAGTTTTTGTTTATTAATAATTTAGGTTGATCTCTGTTGTAGAATAACGCTCTGTTTTTATGCTCGGTTCCGGTGGGTCCGACTACGAAGCTTTTTGTTTTCTTTTGTATTGATTTTTTTATTGGTCATTTAGAATTGTTTTTTCTTCTTTTTTATTTGTCTTGCAAATTTTCGTTTTGTTTTCGGTCTTATTATTGATCATAAATCTAAATTTTCGAAAAAATCCGAACTTGGAGATTATATTGTACAAACATGTATGTATCGAAACAAGTTTTAACTAGTTTAAGAGGCTCAATCAAGTATCCATGTCATCTTGCAATAAAATCTCGTATTTTCACGCATCACTTCTTGAAGGTCCGATAATTCTTTTACGGTCAGTACAGAATCGAGCTTCAGAAAACCGTCAAGCCAGAGCTTTTTAAATAGACGAAGATCTATTTAAATAGACGAATGTTATCTTTTTATTACTAGTTATAACATTTAGTGTAACACTTCCTACGTTTAGAAATAGACGAAGATCTAAATCTAGTTAGTTTTATGTTACACTCGATGGATTTTATTGGATACTATCAAGTCGGGTTGGGCGTATTTGTACGATACCCGTACTATTAGAAATTGATATTTAACATTAATTTCGATAAATAATGAAAATAAATTTTATAATTTCTCTAATGTAACAGATAAAAGCATTCTAAAAACTAATACAATGCTCCCACACAATCCAAGCTTAAAACTCAAATTAACAATGTCCCAAATGTAAATAAGATATGATGACAAACATTAAATAACCAAAGCAAATTTCACATGTCGATAATTATTTTTAAATATAACTCGGGTCGTTTCTCAGTAGCTGATAAATATCTTCAAGGTCACTGAATCTCCTCTGTATTTTCTTGAACCGTTTCTTCGCCAACATCATCACCTTCTTTCTTGCGTCAAAGTCTTTCGTAGCTGCTCTGACAGTGAATTTTCTCACATCGTCGATCTCTTCTAGAACCTTCTTCAGCCAAGAAACGTCCAGCTGCCCGATCGCTGCCACCTCAGCAAGAACCATCATATTGCTCAATTCAGAAAGGACGTAGTTAAAGTCGTCTCGTATGAGCTTTATAACAACATCGCATACTATCTCAACCAGATTAGCGTTGGAGGATGGATATATACAGAGTAATGAGTTTGCAGCAAAATTTCCATACTTGGCGAAAATAAACCAAAGTATAGGCGCTAAGCTAGCCTTCACTCGGTGCCCAAAGACTTCTTCGATAGCGTAATTACGTGATCGCCCTGGAAGTAGTCTCCGTTTTATCGTGTTCGGTGATTTGTTCCAGGCCTGACTGTTACATATCAGGAGGTTTTCAAAATAGGTCAAAAAAGAGCATCTAGCATAAAAAATAGGAATAATTAAATAGAAAAAAAAGGAATAAACGGATGTTTTGATACCGAATAGCACACTTACAGTATTGAAGGAGTGTTAAAAAAGTGCCGAGCGAGCCCATGAACCTGTTAAGTACTTCACGTAAGGTACTGAAACGAACTCGTAAGACTACAAATTTTGAAATAGATACTGATGCAGAAAGAAACTCACCAGATACGACCTTGATTTTCTATTATATACCACATCCGTTACTTTCTCACTTAGAGTTAGTACCCTTCCAATGGCAATCTGCACAAGAAAAAAAAATCTCGCATAATAGCATAAAATGGAGCATATCTTCTCCTAATTAAAAAAAAAAGAAAAAAAAAAAGAAACTCACCATGTGTTTCTTCTCAAACGAACGTTCTCCATCATTTCGAAACCTACATGTTAGAAACATAGTTTAGAATTCAGCATCAGATTCAGTAGTTCATAAAATACGTAACATCTGGAGTTATAAATAAAATGCATCACATCAGATTCTGATCATTTAAGAGAAGACGATGTCATCCGAAAAGTTTTTAATTACATAAAAAAAAAAAAAAAAAAAAACCTTGCCTTAAAGAAGAAAACTAAGAGGAACGGTGAGTTTGCTGGTGATAACTGGATTTTTTTACGACGTTTAAGAGAAGGAACTAGATTTATTACTATTCTTTAAATTTTTCTATCGTAGATCGCAATAATTGTTCAATATAGCTCCAATCTGAAAATTATATATAAAGAAAGAAAAAATTCCGTGCTCTTTCAACTACAACTACACCTGTGTTTTGTTTCCCGTTTTTCAAATATAAAAATGTACAGTAAGTAGCGAGTGGCAGTAACTTACGCATTAGCTGAAGGATAAGAACCCCGAACAGTATTCCCTTGCTCCTGTATATACTGTTCGAATACAAAACTTCCAAGTTATGGCATATTGAGAAAATAGAGGAAAAAAAACAGTCAGGCGCACGATACTCACTCCAATGGATAAATTTTCATAATCAACCAATTCCCAGATTTCGTTTGAAAGGTCTACTAAATCTCTGCCACCATCTTCAAAGTCAACCTAATGATGATTCAAGAAATTCGAGTGCCAACAAAAAGGTGAAGCCGTTACATATCATGCTTTACATAATAACACACTAGACATTTTTGCAAGTTCAAACAACTTATGTTGACTAAATCATTATAACTCTTGGAAAAAAATTGATCGATTATTTACCTGGTGCTTCAATAGCAAACGGTTAAAAGAAGTGATTGTTCCTGCGAGGTGTCTAGAAAGCAAAAAAGAATCGCGGAGTTAGAATTTTCTTAAGAATTACAAGATCCAATAGAAAGCTTTATTTTGAACTAATCTATGTACAAAAATCACCTCAAGTGAGAGCAACACTACATACTTTTCTAGGCAATAAATGTAAAAAAGAAAAAGAGAAACAATTACAGTCAGATGAAAGCATTTTATCTACAACATAAGGACATTTTAATTAGGGGTGAACATATACCCGCCCAACCCGACCGACCCGCCCAACCCGAACCAACCCGCCCGAAACCCGCATGTTTTAAAATTTAATATTGTGCCAGCAGTTTTAAATGTGAGAAACCCGCATTGAGCGGGTCGGTTGGCAGTTTTTGTTTCTGTAACCCGCTTCAAACCCGACCCGCACCCATACCCACAATATATTTATATATATAAATGTTTTATGTATAAATAATTAAATATATATTGAATAAAGTTGACATTTCCCGTCATTGTCATTTGTCTGCCTCTATTCCCAAACCTAACCCTATCTATTCTTCTCATCTTTTACTTTAATTACAAATCACAGCTGCATCTATTTTGCAACACCGTCGCGGCTGGCTAGATTCGCCACCACAGCCACTGATGCCGTCTGATTCTTCAACTGTCGAGCCCAAAAATCGTTAGTGGCAACTCCACTACTTCAGTCTTCACTCTTCCCAGACCACGGTAGTTCTAAATTTGATGGTTGGTTGATGAATAAAGAGATCTCCACTTCTTCATGGTCAAGGGTTGTTACAAATCCTAATACTTTTAAATTGGAGAATTATTTAATAACCCCCATTTTCATCTCACAAAGTTACTCAGTTTCGCCTGTGTTTTGAAATTATTTTTTTAGATGTAAGAATACGTCTATCTTTTTCTCTGGACATTAGTATGCATTGTTTAAAGGTAAAAAGAATGGTAATATAGTTTTTCTTCACCCGACCCGCCAACCCGCCCGCCAACTGCCAAACCCGACCAACCCGATCCGTGCGGGTATTTAGGATAATTGGGCAGGTGCAGTTTGTGGATTTGTCAACCCGCCTATGTCGGGTCGGGTTATTTTTTTGCCCAAACCCGCCCAAACCCGCCCGTGTTCACCCCTAATTTTAATCACGAAATCTCCTACAGCAAAAAATCCATTAAAATTTGCAGTAATCATACAAGTTTAGAAGTACTCACATATAAAGCAGTGGGGTAAAAATATTTACCCTGCAGCCAATCAGCTCCTCACCGTAATTTCTCAAGCAGGGATGAATTTCAGCAGCCTGAAAATAAGTAAAAATAAAAGACAATAATTACTCCAAGGCAAAAAGAAAGCCATCGATTTTTTTTTTTCTCTTTTTTCTTTTTAAAGAAAGCCATAAATTTGTTTTAAATCAATTGCATTAAACAGATTTAAACCAAGGAAGAGAGAAGATAATGGGACAATGACAAGGTATATCTTAAGATTCAATTTTCGCAAGACCAGTAAAAAAAAAAAATCATGTTGTGAAAGTGAAGATTGTGAAAAGTTTAATAAAAAGAACCCAAACAAGTTCAGCCAACAACAAAACCTCCAGATAAACTTAAGATCATTTTCAATATCGGAGACATCATTTTTAAATCGAATCCAAAATTCCTTCGAGTGTAATATGAAATGTCCAGAAGAAGAAATACTGCCAGAACTGTAAGCAACTGCGAAGTATAAAAGCGATGCTTTTGCCTCTTTTTCGTGAAAAATGAAGTAAAGCTAATAATTTCATTCATTCAATAATTTCAGTTTTGATTCTTTAAAAGAAGCCTTCTTTCTTTCTGTACATAGGCCACTAACTCCTCCGTTAAAAAAACAGTTAAACCATCGAGAAACAATATCAGACATACATTCTGAATCATCATAAAACAATCAATAATCAAAGAGGATTTGTCATTCATAAAACAATCAACAATCAATAATCAATAATCAATATTCAAACAATTTAAAAATAGTTGGCATAAAAACCCAAAGACTAATCAATTTTGACCGTCTAGGGCTAAATATTAATTATGAGGCCAGATTCCAATATTTGCAAGAACTCATTACAGGAAGATGGGTTTTAAGAAGAGATCTCCATACCTGAACAAGATTTCTCTTCAACTCCTCTCCCTCTAAAAAAACCAAACTCGACGAACTCGAAGAAACCATTTCTCTTTCTTCCCAAAAGCACAACACAAAGGAAACCCTAGCAAATGCAAAGAAGATTTAAAGTTTTGAAAACCTATTTCCAAGAATGCCGTGAAAAAGTAAATGAGCAGTTGTTTAAATAGGCGCACACAATTGACAGAGGGGACTAACGCCATATTACAGTTATTAGATTATGGTTTCAATAGTGGAAAACAGGGGGGGAAACCCCCACCCCCCCCCCCCCCCCCCCCCCCCTCCCCCCCAAAAAAAAAACGGCATTTAAATTTACGACAATGGTCCAAATTTGGTAGGGAAAATCCAAGAAATCATGGTATTATAGTAAATACATATAACAGCCAGTACTGAGACATACTACTGTGTAAACATTTCAAATTTGCTTTTCTTTTTTCTCCATCTTCATTATTGACTATTGCATATTCTTAAATGTTTTTCAAATTTGCAATTTTATATCTCTTTCACAATTCAGCATGCGGAATGATAAATTTCTTACCTTATCTACTAGAGCTTGAGTTTACCATTTTTCTCCCGTGGTCTTTGCATAGAATGCTTATGGTAAGTAATATTAACCGATTTAGTTCAGAAGATCTTCAATTTCTCACAAGGCCTTTAACCCGATTCTAATAGAGCTTTAAGATCCAATTTTGTGCCGGATTACATGATTTTATATGATGATGACGTCTTAAATTGATATCTACTAAATAGCAACACCTAATATACCAACTTCATTTCCCATTAACAAGGTTTTCCATTTCAACAATTGCAAACGATATTGTGAACTTAAAATATTTGCAAGGAAAGTCTATACCTCAAGAAGGATGAGGAGCCGCATATTATCAGTCGACTTAAGCATGAAAAACCTCCTTGAATGCAAACAAAACCAAAAAGAATCATTGAACAGTTAGGTTAGGCCAGCAAGAATAAACATGGATATTCCTCAATATAAATGCTAGATTTAGTAATTTTAGTTAATAGATTTGTATTCTATAAATTATGAGTGATGTTCCTAGTACGTGAACCAATAGTATATGATAGAGTAACTATATTCAGATGAGAATCAAATAATCAATGTTACCCTGTTTTGTACAGCATTGGTGGCGTAAATACTATAAAGAGGCAATATAGTGGAAGATTAGCTTCAACCGTGATTAACTTTTCATTCACATATTTCGGATTGATTCCAATCTTTCCTTATATAGAAAATATCATACCCTATTTTTTTATATGGTGCAATCACGAACGAGAGAAGATATGCTCCATCTTATGCTAATATGCAGAAGGAAAAAAAATGCTGTTGAGACTGGATTTACATGGTGTATAATTGTGAAATATACTTTTATTCTTTCAATAGTTGCAACGATATGAACGGCATAATGTAATCGATAGGATAAACAATGAATTACCTTAAAACGGACCCAAGCATGTAACTTGATATCTCAATGAAATTTTCCTTGCGACATCTTCTTTTCCGACCAACTTTTTCACGCCGATAAGCTACTATTTAAGACGGGTGCCCATAGAAAATCAACAGATTACTCTGAAGGATAAAGTTCATCGAATCAAATAGAAGATTTGTTTGGACACCGAGTAAAGGCTAGCTTAGCACCGTTACTTTGGTTTATTTTCGCCAAGTATGGAAATTTTGCTGCAAACTCCTTGCTCAATATATTTCCAGACTCCAACGCGAAACTGCTCGAGATAGTATGCGATGTTGTTATAAAGCTCATACGAGACAACTTTGACTACGTCCTTTCTGAATTGAGCAATATGATGATTCTTGCTGAGGTGGCAGCAATTGGGCAGCTGGACGTTTCTTGGCTGAAGAAGGTTCTAGAAGAGATCGATGATGTAAGAAACTTCATTGTCAGAGCAGCTACAAAAAACTTTGACGCAAGAAAGAAGGTGATGATGGTGGCGAAGAAACGTTTCAAGAAAATACAGAGGAGCTTCAGTGACCTTGAAGATACCTGTCGCATATTGAGAGAAATTGTAATCAGAAGTCCTGAGTTGTGCGACCTCTTTCGGAGTAAAACAGTGATAGGCATTTCATATATGCAGCCACATAAAGAAAGGAAATGAAAAATGAATTGTACGGTATTTTGGTAGGAATGGGCAACGAAATAAATAAATAAAGCTATGCTTTCGTTATTATTAGTGTTTAAATCAGCATGTAGTGTCGGGGATTGACCAAAACAGCAAATTGATGACAAAAGAAAAGAAATAATACTATGTGCTGGCACGGCTGATCAACATTGTATACCTTCATCAAATATGATTAGATTATTTCTTCTTTGTTTAATGCTCTTTAAGATGAGTTTCTAACTTAGATGATTTGATAGAAAAAGTTCGTAGACTACCCAGCCAATGTTCGATGCTCATTCGAACCTTGGCAAAGAACACAAAAGCAAAGAATACTATTTGTTCCCGAGTATGCTCGTTCGTTTTAAGATAAATATGAAGAACCCGCACCAAAAAGCTAGAAAAGTTTCTATTGTTCAAAATTGATTAATTAATGAACGAGCATTGGTAGATTTATCATTTGAAATCGCAACTATATTCATCTTAGCAGGTACATCCGATGTACTAACTTAGCCTGTATCAGTCATTTAACAAAACAAGAACAAATCATTAATGAAAACTCTAATTTTTATCAACTCGCTAGAATTTTCTGCTTCAACTAAAAAGAATCACTAGAAAAGCACTCCCTTGAAACAAAAAACTACAAATAAGTGGAAATTATATAAAGGAACTCCCATACGAGAGCAGAACGAGACAATCTAATACAGTCAGATTAGATTACTCTAGAGAACAGAAAAAATATGCATGGGGAACCCCAAATCTTAGCATTCAATTATCATTACAAACTTTGGAAAATTCAATAGTCGAAAAATTCAAATAAATACTGTGAAGTTAATACCAAGAACAGCATATCTAGGTGTCTGGTTCTTTTTAATTTACGTTTGCTTGATTGTGTGTACCAATGTCAAAGAACAAAAAAAAAATCTTTTTTTCATTTTGGAATTTTGTTCGAGCTCGTTTCTATTATTCCTTGACTGTATTCTTCTAATTTTGGGACTGCTCGTATTCACGATCAAATTTATTTATTCTAATGCTGGATTACCCTAGTTTCTTTTCCTTCTTCTCAGTTTTCTCCAAATCAATTTTACATTTATTGCCAATTATATCATTCAACGTTTTCTGTTTCCAACAATGGACAATGCTGATCATTAATAATGTAAAATTGGAAATCAGAACTTATCGAGATTCGATAATTCATCATAAAATTTGAAGAACAAAATATAAATTAATCATTAGAGCTGTGGTTCTTAATATCGGCTCCTTGTTAACCCTAATCGAATTTAAATCTACGGTTGCTTCCCATTGATTATAGAATCACAAATATAAATGACAACAATCCAACATCACAATTAAAATAAATCTCAAATTATTGACCCAATCCATAAGAAAATAAAAATTGAAAACTGCTTGATTTTTTACACATAGGCTTATGAAATCCATACCTTCGTGTATTGATCTAGGTCGGCGGTGGTGGTGGCGTTGGATTCAGGAGCTAACGCCGCCGTGGAAGAAAGTACTCAGGCGAGAAGCGGCAACGGTGGAAATTTAAATGGTCGAGAAAGGGATTAATAACGTTGATCGGAATTTGGGGGTTCGGAGAGGGGCCGGACCGCCGGAGAATGGGGTCTCCGCCCCTCTCCGCTCCCAACACCGTCGCCGGAGCCCCCTCCTTATAACTTCTTTTTCCAATAAATTATTTTTCCCACTTTACTTTCATCATTTAATAATAATAAATAATCAACGATCCGATTGTTTGGTAATATGAATGGAAATTAATTTAAATTAGATTTGGTTGGATTAAGGTGGTGTTTGCAAACGCTTTTAAATAAGCAGAAGTTAGTGATTCTGATTTAAGTTCAGGATAAGTGTTTATTCCTAAAAGCAGGGTGTTTGCAAATATCAACAAAATCAACTTAAAGCACCAATAAAAAAGTTGCAGTGTTTGCAAAATAAATTTTAATTTTCAGCTTATTTTTTTAAAATGTCTTAAATGCCCTAATTAAGTACAAACTCATTTTTTTTCAATGAAAACTTCATAGTCGGTCTCTACTGTGTTAAAACCAGTAGCTAATGTGTTAAGACCATTAAGACGAGTAGACATGCTCACACAAAGTGCCGATCAAAATTTACAAAAAATAAAGTTAAGGAATGGCAGCAATAAAAAAAATCAAAAATCAATGTTTAATGTAAATGCATATAAAGACAAATAAACGTTTGGCTAATCTAAAGGTTGAACACAAGTGAGTCGGCCAAGACAGGGGAGAAATCAATGCATATACAGTGGAGAATAAATTGAAACACTTCCCAAGAATAAAAAAATAAATCTTAGATTACCATAAAAGGTTGAGAATTCATACCAATTGCAATTGACGCTGAATCGAATTTACAGTGCGGGAGCCGAGACAGAGAACATATATATTATGAGGTTTTTGGTCGTGTGTTATAGGAGGGAAATTTTAGGTCGTGTTTAGATTTTGGGCGCTTTGCACGGGGTAAAAATGTATATTTAATGTTGACATCTAATTTGTTAATTAAATTTTATTAACATGTATGAATAAACACAATTTTTATTAATTATTGAGTTACTAATAATCCATTTTTCTTGCAACACCCTTTAGGAATCTGAAGTTCTTCAAGCTCTTGGCCAATAAAACTTAGTTGACTTCGGAAAACTCAAAGTTGACAATACAATTTTTATAGTTGACTCTGGGAACAATATAGTTAACTACCTTTTTTTTATAGTTGACTCTGGGCGTAGATGACTACAATTTTTTTTTTTTGTGTTTTTCGCGAAAACAATGATCGTTTCTTTGTTGTGGACTCTGATAAAACAAATTTCATGGAAAATAAGTATCTATGAGTCAACAATTTGTACAATCATGGATTTGTAGATCTAAAAAACCAGCTTGTTTACGAATTTTGTTTTCGAGTAATCAACCATGGAAGGATTTTGAACCGTCGCATATGGTCACCGTGAACCACCACCCTTTGACATCGCTGCACATAGGCGTCCGTCGTCGCAGCCCATAAGTCGTTGCTAAGCTTATCAAACTTTTTTTTTTTGAGAAGCTGGAAGAGAAAAAATAGGAGAAAAGAGAGATGGGGAAGAATAGAAGAAGAGAAGAAGATGGAGAAAAGGTGTTATATGAAGAGGTTGATTCGTGTGAACTGCTTCAAAACATCAATTAATTTGGCAAGATGGTGGGGGTTATTTCCAACACAAAATATGAGGGTAGTTATGGTATGCCACAAATTGAGGGGTTTAACTATAAAAACAATGAAGGGTGGTTAGTTCTAATATAATTCATAATGAGGGGTTATGCCTCATTAAACCTAAATGATAAATAATAAAGACAAACACACACTATAATCATAGCACATAATCAACGTTCAAAACTCATATATCAAAAAATCCCGACAAAATTCATGAAAATTGGAAGGCAAGGATAGCACCAGATTCAGTCAAAACACAAACCTGCTGACGTAGAAGAGAGAAGTTGGGGAAGTCTTTAAAACGTGTTCGAATAAAAAGAAGAGCAAAACCAAACCCTACAAAAATAAGGCTGAAGTATTTTAGTGTCTCACTCGTCAATTTGAGAGTCTATCTTTGGTTGTGTTATTAGAAATGTCTATGTCTGAAAATAGGAGTGGTAGCAAAATATAATGAGAAATTTAATAGAGACAAAAATAAAATTAAAAATAATCTTAAATATGCCACGAGTTAGAAAAAGAGCAGAAACAAAGCCTAAAAAATAAGGTCGAAATTTTGTAAGCCCACACTTTTAATAAAAAATAAATGATTTTAGTTTTTGTTAATTTTTTTTTTTTTGTTTTGTTTTTCTTTTTACTTATCTAGTTGTTATCGGCCATGGTAAAGCTTATCTTATATATAAAAGAACGAAACGATAGGCGGCAACCTAAGAAACCCTAATGGTATATTTGTAAAAAAAATTAGTTATTTATATATTTATCTCCTATTTCGCAGCATTTTTTTTCTAATTACTTTAACACCAAATCTAGGCTAGCACAATCATAATCCACTAATTCTATATCTTTGTAATTGTTCTTATTATTTTTCTTTGATATTTCTTTGTTTCATTTATTTAATAATCAACTTAATATTATGAGAATTAAGTTAACATAATTGTTTTTTCGGAATCAGTTTATATTATTAAATTTGCATAAATATTGATGTTGTTACCAATATATTATAATTTTTATTGTCATATATTAAATCAATAAGTATTTTCACTTTTGAAATACTATCCCGTACATCGCACTGTAAAAAACACTAATTTGTTAAATAACCAGTTACAATATCTTTAGAAAATCTTTTAATACTATTTGCCAAGAGTTCTTTTATTTGTTAACTCTTGAATTAGTAGTTTGAATACAACAGAAATTTCAATATTATCGTGTAAATATCATACAAATATATAAAATTAAATTTTTTAATCAATATTAATATTCATATTAATATTTAAATTATTATTGTTTTACAATACACGTTTGAAATCAGAACAGTTTGCTAATTAATTAAGTGCTAACAAATCATATATTGGTTACGTAATTACATCTACATGTACACAAATATATAACTTGAAGTTATCAACTATGACACAAACTCTATTCAACCAGTATTCCTAGCGAGGTGGCCCGTTTTATTGATTCCTATAAATTAGAGGGGATGTATATGAATTTATCACTTCATCGATCTCGTATTATTCTTCCTTCATACACGGAATCTGTTTATTCTTGGGTACAAGAGAGATGAATCTAAAACTTGTATATAGTCTCATAATTTTCATGATAATTACATCCAGTATCTCGGTGCAAGTTCTTGCGAACGAGGACGAGATCTGCGGATGGGAGATGGATATATATATATATATATAAACTCTATTCAACTAGTATTCCTAGCGAAGTGGTCTTGTTGTATTGATCCCTATCAATTGGAGGGGATATACTTGATTTTATAACTTCATCGATCTCGTAATATTCTTCCTTGATAAACGAAATTTGTTTATTCTTGGATGCGACAGAGATGAATCTAAACTTTATATGTTCCACCAGTTCCCACGATCCGTGCCCT